GATCATCTAAGTGTTGGCCGATTTAAGGGTTCTGAGCTCATTTATGGTGGACTAGACTAAGCTATGATGCTCGGTAGATTGGGTGTATTAAATGCATTTTCAACTTAAGATTTTCAACTTATGATGAGTTTATAGGGCACACCCCCATCATAAGTTGAGGAACATCTGTATAATGTGTCATTGTATAGCCATCAGATGAGAAAGTTCAAAACAAAATCTGTGATAGTGGTTGTCCCTGAGATGAGCGAGGGGCCTGGGGAAATAGATGGAGTTGAGGCCGATTTATTTTTATTGAGGTTGTTTTATTTCTTTGTATTGATGGACTTTAAATGTTTGCCAGTTTAGAAGTGTCCAAACTCTGTTTTATCCATTTTTGCATTTTTCTGATTTTGTTTCTCGGGAAATATTCAAGACATTTTTGTTTTCAAAGTGTTAACTCCTGTTTTTAAAAGCTGTAAAAAATATGATAACAGTGTTTTGATACCTGGGTAAGGACGATTAATTGCTTATTAGCTAAAAGAAGTCTACTGTCTGACATCTGAACTGATATACTTTCCCAGGTAAGCTCTTGAGTTAATTCAGTGACCAGGCTTTATTTCATACTTTCATAAATAACAATTTAGCAGCCGGGCTTGGTGGCTCAGCCTATAATCCCACGCCTTTGGGAGGCTGAGGTGAGTGGATTGCCTAAGCCCACTGGTTCGAGACCCGCCTGGGCAACTTGGCGAGACCTCATCTCTACAGTAAATCAAAAAATTAGCCGGGCGTGGTAGCGCACGCCTGTAATTCCAGCTACTTGGAAGAAGGCTGAGGCGGAAGGATCACCGGAGCCCAGCAGGTCGAGGCTGCGGTGGCCAGGAGTGGCCACTGCACTCCAGTCTGGGCAACAGAGTGAGACTCCAACTCAAAAATAAAATAAAATAACAATTTAGCTGTGGTGTTATTTGAGATTATCCTTTTGGATTATGGCATTGGAAATTGGGTAATTACCAGTTTATAGCAATTGAGTTTTTGATAAGTTTTGGACAGTATTTAGCCAAATATAACTATTTCTTCTTAAGACTGATTTAAGAGAAAGTGAAATCATTTTATCCTTAAATGTCTGTTTTCTTTTTAACCTAGCAGAAGGAAGTACATTCATTTCATCTGAACGTTTAAGTAGACTACATAGGAATTTAAAATACACCCAAGCCTAAACCCTTTTCAACATGCATCTACCCTATAACCATCAGCTTCATTTTGTAGCACTGTTATAACACTGCAATTGCTAGGTTATAGAGATAGAGCAAATATTGTGGAATTTATATCATGATATGTACATATGTAGACATATACTAATCTTCCTATTGTCAGCAGATATCTCAAGGGGCGTGTGTGTATATATACATATATATGTGCATTGTGTACACCTGTATATATGTGTATATATGTCTCTCTGCTAACAGTAGTGAGATTAGAATGTTTATTTGTTTTTAATAAATATGATATCAATGTAAAATAGAGCTGGTAAAAATGGTTCTAAGTCACATTCAATTTATATAGCAAGTGAAATGTTTATTGTTAGCCAAAGTGAATTTAAATCTGTATTTGAGTTCTTTAGTCCAAACTCAATCTGATTTTCAAGATTTTAATTTGTGTTTCCAGGCTATACAAATACAGGAACACTGTTGATACAGACTCTTCTCTTTTCTGCCTTTGTGATTTTTTTGTGCTCTTCTTTGCAGGCTTCTTTGCCTTCCTTGCTAGCCTTGTTTAAGCTGAATTCATTCTTCAAGGCCCCAGGTCAAGTACCTACTCTTACTTTAAGCCTTTACAGATAAGTTAGGCTGCAGCAATCTTTCGTGGCACTCGGCATCTTCACCTTTCTAGGCCTGTCGACGCTGTCTTGTGAGCACCTTTGACAGGTGTGAGGGTGGTGTGGGTCACCAGCATGAGGTAGGATCCCTGTTCTAACATCTGCCGTCTGCCTGATCAGCTGTGCCCTGCAGTAATCTTCATCATAATTTTGTTAATGAGGATTGTGATCATCTCTGTAGAGCCCTTACCTGGAGGAAAATAAGAGGATTGGATAGAGTGGTTTCCCAAAATGTGATGCCATTTTAGCCATGCTGGATTAGAGACAATGAGAATGAGTCCAGGGATGTGCTTGTCTGTAGGAACTCAAGCAATTCTGAACGTATACTGAATTTTGAGAACCTTGCCCTAGATCTGTAAATGCCCCTTCAGATTGCTAATTTGTTTGGTATTCTAGGTCATCATTGCTCTAATGATCACCTCACGCTTACAGGTCAAGATCACACATCTGCTTATGCTTTCTCATTGGAGAACTCAAGTAAGGCCAGTGTTTTGAGTTTGGATGACACAGGTATGGGAGAACATAAGAACTGCAAGGACTTGATTAAAAACCACATTTTATACATATTCTGAGGACCCATTTTTAGGTGTGGGTGGTGGGAATTCAGTTGTTTGTCTTATGTCTGTCAAATGAGCCATATTGGTTCCTTTCATTTTCATTATAAAGTTGTCTTTTGAAAAATTCTTTTATATTTTCATTTGGCAGGAATTATTGGTGATTGGCCAAAGGAACAAGTACTCCAGATGCTTTAATTGTACTACCAAATCACACCATTTAATTTATAGCCACTTGGGAGATCGGATGTTCCATTGATCTCAAGTTATTAGGAACGAGTTTTGTAGTCCTGCAATTAGAACTTGCAGCATAAAACATCCTGTGTATCTAATTCCTGTACTTTTGATCCATTTTCTTTTTCAGAAGCTTTTGTATTTGACTTTTTGCTAATTGCAGGGAGGTTTAGTATTAACAGAAAACTAGTATGTCTGGATTTCTTGTCTAAGCCCAATACCTATATTGTAGTTACCTACAGACATCTCCACATGAATGTCCCATAGGTACCTAAATTTAATATATTAGAAACTAAACTCATTTTCTTTACCTCCGGTCTCACACAGTGATACAATGTATATATCATTTTTTGTTTCTTAGTAATAGCATATCATATGAATTGATATCTTGAAAAATAAAATATAGTAGTAAAACTTGGAAGCATTTATCATTTTTGCTTTCAAAATACCATCAGTTAACTAAATAAAAATGAATGGTATATATGTGCTTTGTTAATAAAGGTGTAAGGAGTGTATAGTTTAACAAAGCAAAAAGCAAGAGTAATTTAAAGGATTGCCCTAGACAGTTTTTTTAATATGCAGAAATGAAAGTTGATAGGCATTTATAGCTAGAAAAAATAAAATTGTGATGAAATTTTCTTAAATGGACTGTATAAAAAATTTTAAGGCATCTAGAAGTAAATAAAATAGGTTAGTACTACAGATAAAAAATCTTTCTTAAATTTTAAAAATAATAGTAATAGTTTTTTACTAAAATAAGCAAAAATACCTATAAAATGTTGGTTTAAATTTTTTTGATAGATCATAAAGTAAATTTAATATAAGGTAAACCAAGCTGTAAGTGCCTTTAGATAAACTTGTTCTTAAAATTCTTATTTTAAAACTAATTTGAATTAAATTGATTAGGAAGTAAATTGATTTTAAACATATTTTCCTTGGTGCATTGACTTTTGGGTATATTAGTTTGTAATTCATGAATGTACCCTATTCCATCAAATCTAAAGACATATTGTAATATCACATACTAAGAAAAAAGTGCTTACAACTGATGAGTACATTCTTATACTTAGAATTTTTATTTTTTGTTTATTTAAAGAGCTCTTTTGTATCTTTATATTTACATATAGATTTTTAAAACTCACTTATTACACTTCTGCATAAATATGTAAAAAAAGTAAATGAAATCTCTTGGTGATTATGTTTCTAAAACGTATTCATATCATCATTGATTATATGGAACATTCTAATTTCAGAGATTTTAACATATGAAAAAAATGTGTCTCAGATTCAGTGACATAAGGTTTGTCTTGAGTATAGAGGCCAGGTTGAAATGATGTTAAAGGTGTGGGCATTATCAGTATGTGAAGTAGAACTGAATGAGATCACCCAGGGAGAAGAGGTCTAGGGTTGGCACTTTGGGAAACATTAACGTTTTATAGCTTGAGCAGAGTTCCAAGGAGAGACTTAAGGAAATAGAAGAGAACCCGTAGACAGTTATATTTAGGAAGCAACAGAATGAAGATGTTTCAGTAAGGGAGAGCGATTACTAGTGTTAAAAATGCCAAACAGGAAGGAGAATGTGTGTGAGTTCAATCGAAAGCTTGGAATAAATTATAGAACTTTTTATAGTTGTTTGAATGAAATGTGTGATATTTACTTTCTTCCTGTTAACCTGAATGATTTTATATGCCAGTGTAATAGATTAAGAAAATAATACTGAGTCTGTCTTCAGTTTTGTTAATTTTAAATTTAAGATGTTGTTGCTAATTTGTTTGTGGCAAAGAAGAAATCAAGGAATAGAATAAACTAAAGTCAGTGATTTTGTCTGTCGGCTGTCTTTCAATTTTCTTAATGAGAATAACCTTAAGGTGTCTTAAGGATTCTTTCATCAACTACCTTGTTTTACCAATGAGACAAGTGACCTAGAAATCTTGTGTGATTTGCTCTTAAGTTTACACGTTCAGTTAATGGCAAAAGCAGGAATTAGATAAGTTTTTAAATCTAAGCTTCTGTCAGATCTCCCATACTGTTTCTCCTTTCTTAAATGGAAATTTCATTAAATGGTTTGGTAACTACACTTTGTAGCATAGAGATAAATAGCAAGTTTTAGATTATTAGTTGTGAATATAAAAGGAGACAGCATGTAAAATAATGTAGCAAGGAAAATGATCTTTTTTAAATTTAGAGAGGAATGTTATATATATATTTTGATTCTCTTAATTTTCAGCATATGGTATGTTTTCTTCCAATAGCAGCCTAAAAATATAATACATGTGAATATCAGTTTTACTGAAAATATTGAGAGCAGCTTTATATTTTAGATTTATATAATGTTCTTTTTTTTTTTTTTTGAATAGAAAAAATGAATGCACCAAATCTGCCTCCACATAAAGACACTGGAAAAACAGTGGAGAATGTGGAAGAGTATAGCTATAAGCAGGAGAAAAAGATCCGAGCAACTCTTAGAACAACAGAGCGTGATCATAAAAAAAATGCACAGTGCTCTTTTATGTTAGACTCAGTGGGTGGGTCTTTGCCAAAAAAATCAATTCCAGATGTGGATCTCAATAAGCCTTACCTCAGCCTTGGCTGTAGCAATGCTAAGCTTCCGGTATCTGTGCCCATGCCTATAGCCAGACCGACACGCCAGACTTCTAGAACTGACTGTCCGGCAGACCGCTTAAAATTTTTTGAAACATTACGACTTTTGCTAAAGCTTACCTCAGTCTCGAAGAAGAAGGACAGGGAGCAAAGAGGACAAGAAAACACGTCTGCTTTCTGGTTTAACCGATCTAATGAACTGATCTGGTTAGAGCTTCAAGCCTGGCATGCAGGACGGACCATTAATGACCAGGACTTCTTTTTATATACAGCCCGTCAAGCCATACCAGATATTATCAATGAAATCCTTACTTTCAAAGTTAATTATGGGAGCTTTGCCTTTGTTAGAAATGGAGCTAGTTTTAATGGTACTTCAGTAGAAGGGCAGTGCAAAGCCCCTCATGGAGCAAAGACTGTGGGTTACTCAACATATCATGAGCATCTCCAACGCCAGAGGGTCTCATTTGAGCAGGTAAAGCGGATAATGGAACTGCTAGAGTACATAGAAGCACTTTATCCATCACTGCAGGCTCTTCAAAAGGACTATGAAAAATACGCTGCAAAAGACTTCCAGAACAGGGTGCAGGCACTCTGTTTGTGGCTGAATATCACAAAAGACTTAAATCAGAAACTAAGGATTATGGGCACTGTTTTGGGCGTCAAGAATTTATCAGACATTGGCTGGCCAGTGTTTGAAATCCCTTCCCCTCGACCATCCAAAGGTAATGAGCCGGATTATGAGGGTGACGACACAGAAGGAGAATTGAAGGAGCTGGAAAGTAGTACGGATGAGAGTGAAGAAGAGCAAGCCTCTGATCCCTGGGTACCGGAAGTCAGACAGCCCATAAACAACAGTTTTGACTTCCAGTTGCAGGACTGTGTATCCAAGAAGCTGGAGAGGCTCCAATCTGAGGATGATTCTGTTGGCTGGGGAGCACCAGACTGCAGCACAGATGCAGGCTTTGGTAGACATTGTCTGACTTCTATTTATAGGCCATTTGTAGACAAAGCACTGAAGCAGATGGGGTTAAGAAAGTTAATTTTAAGACTTCACAAGCTAATGGATGGTTCCTTGCAAAGGGCACGTATAGCATTGGTAAAGAATGATCGTCCAGTGGAGGTACGTTTCCAGTAGCCATTAGTATGATATTGTCCTTAGTTCTGTTCTTTATTGTAAATTGCAGCATGTGTTGATTATTATGCACTTTCATATTCTAATATTTTTAAGTGTAAATGTTGTTACTATGGATTGCACATTTAAACATTCTGTAAAGTACTGTGATAAATGGGGAATTGATCTATGAACACCTCATGAAATTTAGTGTATTAAGTACAAATTGTTATGTGGAGGGAATAAGTTCAACCATACAAATACAGGATGGAGAGGGACAGATGAGGTATAAGAGGTATAAGAGGACAGGATAAAAGCCACAATCATGGAGGACTACAGGCTGCACGTCAGTCAGTAAAAGGTAACATCATGCTCAGGTAGTTTTAAATGAATATGGCACCCAAGGTCATGGATATAGTTCTTTCTCTATTCTTTGGCGTTATTTACTTGCTTTTGAGTAACATGTTCAGTTTTGGTTACTGAATTTTAAAGAGATGTGAATTATAGAGAAATATAAGACTGATCAAAAGTGTATGCTATTTGACAAGGTTCAGCGTAGACGATGGAAGTTTAAAAGAAGTCTTGATTATTGTCAAATACATGTTTTGATATGTGTAGATTTTTGTCAGAGGAACGTGTCCACTAGAGGAAGTGGCTTGAAGACAATACAAAATTGGTTTTGATAGCTTGATCCCTCATAAATTCCCTACTGGTAAGAGTGGTAAAACTAGAAAAGGGTATATTGTGGGATATTGTTGTTGAGAGTCCAGAACAGTACTGTACAAGTTATTTTTCTTTTCTAGTGAGTTGGCATGTTCATCTGGCTAAAAGTAAAAGCATCCAGATCTCTGAAATCCCTTATACTTGTGTTAGTCCGTGATTCTAAATTTTAGTAGAGACACACACACAGACACACACACAGACACACACGTACAGTCCCTCGGTATCTTGGGAAGGATTGATTTCAGGACCTCCTTTGGATACCAAAATCTTCAGATGCTCAAGTCCCTGGTATACAGTGGTATAGAATTTGCATATAACCTCTGCACATCCAACTGTATACTTTAAATCATCTGTAGATTCTGTGTAATACCTAATATCTTGTTAATACTATGTAAATGGTTGTTATACTGTCTGGTTTGGAGAATCATGTCAAGAAAAAAAGTTTGTAAATGTTACTACAGATGCAGTTTCTTTTTTCCAATATTGTCAATTTGCGATTTGTTGACTCCGTGGATGCAGAACCCCTGGATACAGAGGGCTGACTGTATGTACTTGTTATTTTTATTTTTTCTTACTTTAGTTTATTACACAATCTGGCTTGCTTTAAAGTCATAAATGACAAAACAGAAGACATTTCTTTTATTTGTATTTTTTAAATTTTTTAAATTTTTATTTTATTTTATTTTTGAGTTGGAGACTCACTCTTTGTTGCCCAGGCTGGAGTGCAGTGGCATGCTCATGGCCTCTGCAGCCTCAACGTGCTGGACTCAGGCTATCCTTCCACCTCAGCTTTTCAAGTAGCTGGAACTACAGATGCATGCCACCATACCCAGCTAATTTTTGTGATTTATTGTAGAGACGAGGTCTCACCAAGTTGCCCAGGCTGGTCTCAAACCCCTGGACTCAGGCATTCTACTTGCCTCAACCTCTCAAAGTGCTGAGATTACAGGCTGGGAAACACCTGGCCCAGAAGGCATTTCTTAAAGATGGAAAACACCTGAAGAGAATCTGAGATTTGCAAGATTTTAATTTTTTTATTCTGATGGACAGATTATGAACCTTTAGAAGGAAAGGCAAGCATTCACATGAATATAGGAAGATGGTTACAAAATTAACCAATACTTTGAAACTAAATTTTAAGAAGTTAGTTTACTTTAAGTATTATTTTCATTAGAAATTTTAAACATGAATTACGTCATTTTCTTCAAACAGTATTTTAACTTTGTGAATGATGTGAGTGATTTTTTGATGCACATCTTTTTATTAGAGCAAATTAGCTTTTTTTCTTTTAGTACATTAATAACTATACTAAGATTTTATTATAGTGCAGGTTTCAAAATCAGTAAAGCAAAAATGTAGGCATGTAATGAGAATTTGTCATACTTCAAATGATGATTAACTTTGCAACTTGGTTTTTGGTGGAAGTGGTTTATTTCCGTCAAGGACACATGTGGGCAAGACAGGGTTGATGTTTAATTTGTGTTGTGAAGTACTAGTTTTGAAGTAATATGAGTGAAAAAAAGCCCTGGCAGTACAGTCATCTCAGTATCCCAGAAGTACTGGTTCCAGGAGCCCTGCGGATACCAGAATCCTCGGATGCCCAAGTCCCTGATATGGAATGGTGTCATATTTTCATACAGCCTGCACACGTCTCCTATAGACTTTAAATCATCTCTTGATGCTTATAATTCCTAATACTAAATAAATGCTACATAAATAGTTGTTATATTATGCTGTTTTTAAATTTGCAATATTACTATAATTATTACTTTTTAGAGATGAGGTCTTACTATGTTACCCAGGCCAGACTTGAATTCCTAGGCTGGAGACCAGCCTGAGTCTCCTGCCTCAGCTTCCCCAGTAGCTTGTATTCATTTTTATTATTGTATTGCTAATTAAAATTTCTTTTCAGATTTTTGGATCTGCAGATGCCTATGGAGAGCCGACTACTGTATAATCTCATCTCTCATTCAGGGATTCACATAGGAGAGAGGAGCTCATGGGCGGGGGCAAAGTGGGGGTGGGGTGGGCGTGCCTAGCTTCTGTAAACTGCATTACACACTCTCCCCAGATCGTCTTTCTTTCCTCTCCAGACTCTGTGGTGATTAACCATTGCTACCAAGGGGATTGCATCCCTTAGTTGTGACAAAGCGAAGAAAGATTGAGAATGCGTGCCCTATGTTTTATGTAAACCTCATGACATGAGAGAGTTTACCCATAGTTTTGAGTTCCCATGAAAGTGATCTTCCTTGAGATTTAACCAGAGAGGTTATCCTTGTTATAGAAAAAAAGAAACCGACACTTAAAGTGTATACATTGTATGAATTAAAGACTGTTTATTAGAATTGTCTGTAGGTTGCTTGCTTTAAAAAAAAAAAAAAAAACTACAGAATCCCATTGTTTTACATTTTTGTTCATAAAATGTTAGGTGTCAAATAATGAAACAGTAATGGAGAGCTAAAGTAGGAATTCTGTATTGGAGATTAATCCAAACTAACAAAAAGTGAGGCTCTGAAATTATAATTACCTCAGTGAGAAAGTAAGATTTTATTTTTATTTCCATCTCCAGAGCATAATTTCTGTAAAAGGAGGCATATATATGTGTGTGTACACACACACACACACACACACACACACACACACATATGAATATATGTGTGCACTACACTCCCAGGCTTGTTTTAGTCATTTTACTAAGAGAGCCACGATATGGGTTTTATTCTTTGTCCTGGCTCTTTCTCACCACATAACTTTGTAAATGGCTATCTTTCTGACTTTAAGCCTTTATATCTATAAAATGGGTATAATAATACTTTCCTACCTACCTCACAGGGTTGTTAGGAGGCTTAAAAAATATTTGAATAAATGGCAAAATCCTATACAAGTCAAATATAAACTATTTTATCTTTAGAAGTTTTGTTATTTTTTTCTTGAAGCTAACTGTAAAAATATGGGCTAGATGGTTTTTTACTTTTATTTTTTAAATGTATTCTTTTAATCTTTGCCATATACTGTAATTGTACATTTTAAGGGCATGCATTTTAGGCAATGCAACCGTTTGGGCTTGAGGACTGTTTTGTTTTTATTCTTAATTGTTAGAAACATCTGGACTGAGTATCACAGATTGTACATAATGCATACCCTGTATTTTGCACTGTTTTTATGGTTGCTGTGATAATATGTATGAAAACAGTTGAAGGATCTTGTAGAAAAGAAGACATTTACTTGTGGTATTTTATTTATCTATATCTCAATATTTTTATTCCTTATGATTATATTACTTGTAACCAGTGTTTGCAAAGAACATATGATCTTATATTTAATTTCCCTTTGCTTGTAAGCATGTGTTATAAGACATTTTTCCTCTAAAAGTTTATATTTCAAAGTCTTGAAAAGAATTGCAACTAGTGGCAACTAAAAACAATTTGCAATATGTTTTTAATAATGTGAATATCAGAAATCGCTTTAATGGTTTATTCAAAATTATATAAAGTTGTAGCCTCTAGTTTCTGTGAGTTGACTTCTTCAGGACACATTTCTAGCTACACAGGCAGTCTCTGTAACAAATGGATTAGTTTCCAGAGATCATTTGTAAGGTGGTTGTTTGGGATCTTGAAAATACTTAGCAGCAGAGTGTGTCAAGTACAGTTCTTTTTGTCTGTAGCTTTATGTACTCAAAACACCGTTTTCCAGAGTAACTTAGGCCTGCACTTTTTTCTGTCACATTCTTCTGTGAAGTTATTTTATATTTCTGTAATATAGCTAGATTCCTTTACCTCAGTCTGCATTCCATCTTGGGATTCTCCCAATATCCTGGTTGTTTTTTAAAATTTGCGTACTGTAAAGTTCACTGTTAGTATTTTATAGATCTCTGGGTTTTGTATAATTTAAAATATCAAATACCCAGAAAATACTGCATTGTGGTTATTTTATCCTTCCTTTTTTGCTTTCCTTATGAAATTTATGTATTTTCAGAAGAGAAAGACAAAATGATTATTTATATTTTAACATAGTGTATAAAAAACCATCTGACTGCATAATACTACTTCAAATACTAGGAACATTTTTTTGGTTACTCAGTTGCTTTCTTCTGAATTAGAAATGATCATATAGTTATTATAAGTTTAATGACCAATGAAATACTGTTTGTCTTTGGATTCTAACAATAATTGTGCTAATTTTTTCCTATAGACACAAGAAACCCTGAAGGTGTTGGCTTTTATTTTAAGTTGAACAAAGCATGTAGAAACTAGGAACTGTATAACCACAGCTACCAGTTAAGGAAT